ATATAGACACCCCAGCATGCTGAAAAGCACGACTACGGAAGAGCACGCACGTTCGAGGCCACAGTAGAGCACGTAGCGGTAAGAGTGCACGGAAACGTATTCTCCAATAGCGCCACGGTGGAGCACGGAGCACATGGGCGGACCAAACACGTGGCCACGAGACACAAAGGGGAAATCACCGAGCATTAGAGCACGATACAAGGGTAGAACCGGAGCTCACCAGGCCACGGAGCGCGATACCACAGAAGAACCCGATAGCACAGACACCATACCAGCCACGAAATCACGAAGAACACGATAACGTGGACGGTGATCCAGCCACTAAAACATGGGAGAACGCAGCCACGGGAGCTATATATATAGACTGGGGATCACTGAACCACGAAGCACGATACCAGTGTAGAGCTTAAGATCACTGAGTCACGGAAAACGATTGTACCATTGCACGGACGGCGGATCAGGCATGGAAGCACGAGGGAGCGACCACGATTGCAGACTACAAAGCACTATACCATTGTAGAACACAGTAACACGGGCACCGCATATAAACTACGCGAGCACAAATGCATAGACAACAAAGCCACACCGCGAGTGCACGATAGCGCGATAACGCGGTCCATGGAGCCACACGAGGAAAACACGTTACACGGGAGACGGAACAGCAAGACTGCATGGAGGTACCATCCCACGGAATCGGCCACGAATGACTATGTATCATGAAACCGGTGCCGCCCACGTAAACGTTTGAGAGCAGGGAATAGTGAGCAGCCACTAAACGGACCGTACTAAGGCGAGTGACCCCAAAAGAGATAGCGCGTAACCACTAAGCAGCGTGTGCCACGGGTGAGCAAAGAACCTCGAAGCCAGGAAGATCATTGAAGAGCGCCGACCATTGAAGAACATGACATCCAACCTGTAGTACGGGGTACCAAACCACGATATTATACGGGTCCACATGAGACTACGGAATGGTAAGTGGTTAAGTACACGAAGCCAAAACCTACTGAGGTGAACGAGGCTAACAAAGTACGCGACACCAAGAAGCACTTAAATTTGTGGTCACCTCATCTCCAACAAACCATGCCACTCCGCCGCGTAGCGGCGGCGAACGGCTAGTCTTACCCCCCTAGTGGAGTGTGGTGTTCGTCTGTCCGTCCGAGGGTAGGGTTCTAAAATGTAACGCAAATACGCGCATTCCACTGGCTGCCGAGCGCAGCGAAGGCGGCGTCGTTTGGCCAAAATTGACTTTTTGTGGTGTACACACTGTATGTGGTCTACACATCGTACTTAAATGCACCGTTCAAATTTCATTTTGCTCTCATTTTCAACTGCCGCCACCTCACGCGAAGGGCGCTGCCTGTGTACGCGTTAGTTCGCATAATTAAAAGGCGCCGATGTGCACACACGTACTATATCGTCGTAGGAGCTGTTGAAAAAAATTGTAGGATTTGGTGACTCGTATTTCGGCCTCAATCGAAACGTTAGTACTTATTGGCAAAAATATGATTTGTTCTGGCTTCGTAGTACTTTTATAATAATTTAACTTACAATACTGATTTTCGTAGTATTATTCGAAGCATAATTCTTATTATTGCTTGCAGACGTTTGTAGTAGTACAACACCTTTTTAATAAGCAGCGTTTGAGATATATTTATTAGTTATAAATAATTAAGCTATAGTATTTATTTGCGTCAGATAAAGGTGCACAATTTATTATTCGAAAACTTTTAAAATGTGAATATAGTTGCTTCCCACCATCCCACCCCACATAATCACTCCGCCCGCTGAAAAAAAAGGATCGTATTCCTTTGTATTCGCGCGCGTAGTGTACGACCTTAAGATATTGTGCGCACTTTCCAACACGATATGTAGCATACATCAAACAAAATAAAAGCAGCGTTTGCGATTGAATTAGCGCGAGGCAAGTGGATATACAAGAACACGAAACACGAAGGAGCACCGGGGCACAATATGTGCACGATGGGGTACAGGGAAGAACACGAAGCACGGAAGGCCACGGACATTGAAAGAGGACTAAATCAATGAAGGCAGTTAGCAATTCTGAAAAGCACGAACCGCGGACGAGCATGCTACCATGAAAACTTGGAATGGCAAGAATATGATGGGAACGTACGGATCACGGAAAGTAACTGAAGTAATGACACCCCAACATGCTGAAAAACACGGGCCACGGAAACGGTAAGATGCACGTGAAGCAATTCTCCCATAGCACCACGGTAGAACATGAAGCACAGACGATGAACCTAACACGAAGCCACGGGAGAGCATAAGCGGGAAATCACCGAGCTTTGGAGCACGCTATTAGGGTAGAATCGAAGCTCACGGAGACCCACAGCACGATACCACGGTAGCTAGCGATCGCCCAGACGACAGACCAACCCCGACATCAGAAGTTAGTACGATAGCACGAACTATGCCACTAAAGATGGGAGAACGCAGCCGCGAAGATCGATACCAGTGTAGAACCTGAGCTTACCGAGCCACGGAGGTCAGTAGTAGATTAGAACTCGATTGCACGGACGGCGGACCAGCCAGGAGATACACGGGGGGGTGCTCGGGGTGACCACGACTGCACACTGTGGAGCATGATACCGTTGTAGAACACGATAACACGACAGCGCATATACACTACGTAGCACAATACCATAGACAGCATTACCACACCGTGATTGCACGATAGTGTGATACCGCGGTCGATGGAACCTCACCAGGAGAGCACGATACACGGGCGACGGAACAACACGACTGCATGGAGACACCAAACCACGGAATAGCACACTTCGGCTAGAGCACCGGCGATGGAAGGCCAATTGCCACGAAATAGTATCTACCACGAAGCCAGTGCAACCCACGTAAACGTTTGAGAACATAGAAAAGTTAGCATTTACAAAAAAGGCCGTATTAAGAAGCATGAGCCCACAAGAGAGAGGGCATAACCGCTGAGCAGCGTGGGTCACGGGTGAGCAGGAACCACGGAGCCGGGAAGAGTACGAACGAGCATGGGCCATTGAAGAAAACAACATCCAATCTGTACTACGGGGTAACGGAAACGTTCCAAACCACGATATTATACGGGGCCGAATGAGACTACGGAATGGCAAGTGGTTATATACACGATGCCAAATTCTATGGGGTGAACCACGGTTACAAAACACACGACACCACGAAGCACTAAATTTGCGGCCACCTCATCTCCAACAAACCATGCCACTCCGCCGCGTAGCGGCGGCGAACGGCTAGTCCTAAAGTATCAAGGCTAGCACGGTGTCTGTCCGTCCGTCACACGAAACGCTCAGGTTTTTGAGCATTCTCATTGGCTGTCGAGCGGAGCGAAGGCGGCTCCAATTGGTTAAAACCGGATTATGTAGCTTACATCAGTAAATTCATGTGGTTCACAGAGCACATATGGAGATTTGCACAAGACTATCCATTACCGGAATCCGAAGGCGGCATCGTTTCTATATTACGAGGTGTTTACTATTTTAATAATGCATGTTACTTTTAATATTTGAGTTCTAACCAGAGTTACTTATTCTCAAATGAAATAGCCCCTTAAGAAGCTTCCTATGCTGCAAGGTGCTTAGCGTACACGTAGGAATGCGTGTTTTCGAGGCCATACTATAATATACGTAATACTATGCTCTAAATAGTTTCTGCAAGTTACAATGACTAAAATAATAGGCACAACATTTCTGTTGTAGAAATATTAAGAACATATCTGAGTGTGAGGTAATTGATTGAGCTGTCAAATAGTAGTACACGTACAACAGAAGCTGGCCGTAAGAACAACGCTGTGCCAATAAACGCTGTCACCTGATCCATAAAGATAAACAGTTTTAGATTGAATAGAATGAACTCATATGTGTTACTGCAGTAACCATTGCTTTCTAAGAGACTGCTGTAAGCCATTGTTTTCTAAGAGTTGTTAGGCAGCAAAATCCGATACTACTTAACTGGCGGACGTGTCGCCGACAGGGGCGTAGGATACGATTTTAAATGGAGCGGCAGCACAACAACAAAACACGAGAGGTGTTAATTATAGCTGGCTAAGTAGACACCATAAAGAAACGTTAATAAACTTGGAGCCTAAATGACGTCCAATAATCCTGGAATCATCGTTAAATTATCAAATAGAAAACACTACTGTCAACAGCAACAGCAGCGAGCGTCTTGCGATACAATATCTAAGTGCTTCAATCATAAGTTATGAGTTTTGTGTCAGTTATGATTCATAACTGACACAGATTCGAGTGCTAATTCTGAATCAGCACATAATGAACGTATATTTTATTGTTTTAGCTTTCATTGAGTTTGATATGAGAAGTGAGCAATCTTTAGTTACGTACAAGCTGAAATAGGCAGTGCAGGCAGGTGTTAATAAGTAGTGCAAGCTGGACAGGCCATTACTATCGTTTGCGCTGATGTGAGCTAAGTTTCATAGCGGCTCAGAAATGGCCCGTAATTTCGAGCACGACGCTAAACTAAACGTATTGTGTAGCGTTTGTATAAATGTTATTTGAAGTGCTGGTGGAGGATGAAGATACAGTGATAGCCAGCAATAAAAAAGAATTTGCATTAAGAACCTTGATATAAGATCATTAGAATATTTATTATTAAATCTGGTAAGCATGATGCTGACCCAAATTAATAAATTAAAAAATCCGATTCTGGTACACATGGGTTCAGCGTTTTTTTAAATAGTTATCCCGCCGAAGCGTAGCGTAGGCGGGAATGCCAAAACGTGTAGAACTAAACCTAATTCACCGCCGCGTAGCGGCGGCGCTCGGCTAGTGTTTAAATGTCATAGAGCTGATGTCCGAATAGACACGATATTCTTCCGTATCATTAATCCGTTAAACTGGCAATTTACCTTAGATGTCCGAATTTTGACCGGCAACTTTTCGCAATGCAGTATGTGCACCACACCATTTTAGATCGTAATTCGTTACATGGGGGGGGGGATCAGTACCACTTTTGGCAGAGAATAATGTCCGCTGAAGGCAAGGCGAACGACTTCCTGGCGCAGGGCGAGAAGGCGCTGAAGAAATCTTCGTTCTTCTCTTTTGGCTCGAGCTCGCAGCGAAACGAAGACGCCAGTGACCTTTTTGAGAAGGCCGGCAACCAGTTCAAGATCGCTAAGAACTGTACGCGTCTCAATGAATTGACTTAAACTTGCAGTAACTAACCTTTTTTTCTGCAACGCAGGGCAAAAGGCTGCCGAAGCATATGAGAGATGTGCACGCTGCCAGGTACGTTTAAGCGAGTGAGATTGCTTGAATGCTGCTGAAAGATTGCGTTGTTTTTGTTTTGCTGCAGTCGCGTTTGAATGAGAACTCTCGTGCTGCCCAGTTCTACCAGCAAGCAGCGGAGGCTCTGGCCAAAGTGAACCCTATGGGTGAGTGCTGTACCGAGATGACTGTATTGATAGGAGCTGACCACCTTATAATTGCTGCTGTACAGATGCCATGGTGCATTTTAAGACGGCTATCTCGATGCTGTGCGATGCCGGTCGCTTCTCGAACGCTGCTAAGCTGCAGAAGCAGATTGGTGAGATCTACGAGCAGCAAGACAACAAGGAGGAAGCGCTCGAAGCGTACCGGCAGGCTGCCGACTATTTCTCTGGAGAGAACCAGTCGTCTTCGGCAAATAACATGATGCTCAAGGTGGCGCAGTTCTCGGCAGAGCTGGAAAAGTATGTCACCATCCTACTCTATGATAGTAGAAAAGAAGTTTTTTTCTAACTGATTCTGCTACTGCTGTTCAGGTACGACGCGGCATTGGAGATCTACGAGAGCATCGCGAAAACTTCGATGGAGTCGAATTTGCTTAAGTTTAATGCCAAAAACCACCTGCTTAATGCTGGTATCTGCGCGCTGGCCACCAAGGACACGGTGCTCGTGCAGATGAAGTGGGAGGAGTTCCAGGATATCGACTATACTTTCGCAGACAGCCGTGAAGGCAAGTTCTTGCAGGCCATGAACCAGAGTTACGAGGCTTTCAATGCTGATGCATTCGCTGATGCCGTGTTCCAGTTCGACACGATCTCCAAGATCGAGCCGTGGAAAATCACGTTGCTATTGCGCATCAAGGAGGGCATCGTTGGCGAGGTCGATGTCGCCCAGGACTTGACTTAAACATTCGACGAGGTTGCTACCCTGGGCTTTGTAGATTTGAGCCAGCATCGCTTTGCATTTTTCGGTTGACTGGTGCGTGGTCAATAATACAGACACGGGTTTGATACGTCTAATCATCGTCGTCGTCACCAATTATGCTCTTCTTCTCCGAGAACTTGACAGATGCAGACACCAGCGGACCTTGCTGATAGAAGAAATACTTCTGGTACGCCAGGACGGAAGGGTTTCCTGCTTCTGTCGGTGTTTCCTCAATCTCTGGACAAATCGCACCCTCTGTTGTAGCCTCTGACTCGCCCGGTGGGGGTGATTTGTTCTTCGGTTGCTCCTCGACATTAAGTGTTCTTCCGGGGAAAACCTCGCCCTTCGTCAGCGCAATCCGTTCCTCTTCCTGCATTTGACAGAGCGATCAGCTTATTTCTGGTGCAACCACAGCAAATGCCTTCAGTACAAACCGTTAGTTGTTGGTGGATAGTAAACCACGCTGGCAGTTGCTGCGGTAAAGTGACCAAGTCCACATCGAATAGTTCAATAAACTGCTCGTTTTCGAAGCGGGTCTTGACACTGCCAGCAATGTTACGATACTGCACGATGATCAACACGCGTTTTCATCTAAAAAACTTCCAGATATCCACTCACCTTGTCAATAGTTGACGTTAAACTCCAGTTCTGCAAACGGCGCAGGCAGCCGACCATAGTACCAGCAAAGTGCACACCAGTTCTACGACCAGTCAAAGCATAATAAGATACAACCAAGCAACTCCAACCTCCATGAGCGTCACCCTTACTTGCACATGATCAGAATGGGGTGTCGTCTTTGGTCCAGGATGCACTCGATGGCCTCCTTGGCCATCCCTTCCGAGATACCTTTCCATTGGGATGACGCCGTGCGGTATTTCGCGCCCAAGTGGATCTGATCGCGATAAATACTTAGCATCTATTACATAGTCGCTACCTTGCCTTCTGGATACGCACCACGCTGATATCCTTCTCGGCGAAGAAGGCGGCCAAGTCGCGCGAGAGGTCGTCGTATGAAAGGTACACCACCGTGTTTAGCTGCAGCGTGGCCAGGAACGGAAACGACGACGCATCGCACTTATTCGAGCGGTAGACCTGGTCCTCCACGATCTCGAAAAACAGTGGAGGGTTCATTGACGGCAGCGTGGTCACCACCACAGGCGATGCCGCGTCCGAGCTCGCCTCCGCCATGTTTTTTTGGTGTACAGTTATTTAAATATACCGGTATTTATACTAATAATTTCAATATTTTTAAATAAGAGCTATTGCTTTTAAAAATAGCAATAGCAATTATTTTGACATGAAGCGTCGACCCAGTTATATTACTTTCCAAATTGAACAGTTGCTTTTGCTCAAATATGAATGTAGGGTTTGCTCATTCTACTAAAGTAGCACTCGACCGGTACTACTGCTTTTGTGCGTAAATCTCATTCACCCGTTTGGGCAATGTACTAAAGTTAAGATGCGAACTTAAGCACATCGTATAAAGTTGAACAGCTCAACGGCAAAACCTTGACAAGCGCACCTACAAAACCCAAGATAGCCGAATAGTTGCAAGTTATCCACGAGTCAAATTTGACTGCACGATAGCCCCAAAATACTAAATCTGCAGCGTTTTTAACACCTCCAAACAGTCGCCCTCCACAATTTTAGCGACTGCCTTGCCTCCAGATATGTATTGTCCAAACGGGTGGAAATGCTCAGTCCAAGCCAAGCTTCAGAGCTACTATAGTAATAGTACTATATTAGCAAGCTATTAATACTGCAATCGCTCACCAAAACCTAAACAGACCGACTCAATGTCGCCACTCCATCATTGTCGGTCTCCATGCGTTGGATCTCCTTTCGGTTGTGCCTGAAAAGTACTTGCATCTCTGCTCGGCGAGTATCCGTTCGCGTGCGCAAGGGAATCGTCACGATTCCACCAGTCGAGAACACCTCTTCTTGCTCGCCCAGCCAAAGCTGCGTGCCAAAGATACAACTGACGGGAATCGTGAGCTGCCAGTCTCACACAACCAGTGTAGAATATCTGCGTATTCGCAGATGGCCTCTACTCTCCAAAAAATCATATCATTACGCCTGACCAGTAGCAGTGGGGAGAAATCATCGGTGATCTTTGTGTCGTCAGCCGGATGGAGGACTGCTCTTAAAATCCAGTCCACTGTGTACTGGTATCACTCGTCCAAAATCCTGTCAGCTTGATCATGAAGTGACGGCGGAGAAGCGTTAAGCTTCATCATTTAAAAGGCGACGACGACGTCCACTCTGCACTCAAAATATAACAGATGTAAACATATAGTACTTGTAGCACTCAAACAACTATTCTACCACTCACATTTCTCGATAGCCACTCACCAAACACCTGAAACCACCGTTCAGCCTATCCAGACCACCTAAGGACATAACCTCATCACCTAAACGGCACACAACCAATCCAATGCAAGAATTTACTATTGTTTCAGCCAATTATTCCACACAACATTGAGCGTCAGTAGTAGTGCCTGACCACCACTCGCTCATTCGACGATTCACCCAGCACCAAGGCTCCCCCTCCTTCCACGTATAACCCCTCAAGCAACCATGCCCACCAAGATCATTTGGACTACTATCACCCCAGTCATACCCACCAGCGATGCAGAAATGCCTCTGGAATCGCTGAAGGTGTTCAAGGAGACGAAGAGCCACCTCGTATCATGCGGTCTATGCAGCCATGCATCGCCTCATACGATGCAAGTTCGCCTCTTGTCCTGCAACTGCCCGACATGCGCTGCAGTCGTGCCCTTCTCCCTGTGTTCTTGGTGTGGCAAGACCCTCGCCTGCCAACACCTCAATCTGATGGGAGTGGATGAGGCAAGCGCGTACATCACCTGCGCCCTCCCCAGCCCGAGCTCGCCTCACCGCCACAATGCATGAAGTGGCGCGTGAGTACAAGGGCTGAAACCGTCGCTCTTTCGTAGCGGGTCTTTGAGGCGCTTTAGCCTCGATGAAGAATCCCTACCATGGTGCAGAGGTTTGTCCAAAATTACGCTGCTTCTCACTTGCGCAACAAGGACATTCTGGCTTCATTAAAGGAAAAGATACGCGAGGTCGCATTCACCGGAGACGAAGAGGAAGCGGTGCCATTCACGCTCACAAGGGAGAATGACCCATCTGGTCTTCTCACTGTCGGAAATGGCAGCGACAATGCTCCCTTCATCGTTGGGGTGACCAGTAAAGGCTCCTGCAACGCTTGGATTGAGATCCGACCCCTTTTGTTCTCGATCTTGACCCCACCTACAAGTTGTGCCAAGCCTCTTACCCGGTTCTCGTGGTCGGCATCTTTGACAAGACCCGAAGTTTTCATCCAGTTAACATCGTCATTATGTCGCAGCAGAAGCAGCTTCATTACGCAAGAGCCCTATCTGCTGTGCGCAGAGTCTATGAGAAGGCCGTGGGAAAGCCGCACACGGTTCATTTTGTGATGTCTGATGCGGACAAGGGACAGCAAAACGCAGTCAATGAGGTTTTCGCAAATGACGGCTCGTTAGTGCACTTAATGTGCTACTTTCGCGTAGCTAAAAAGGTATATGAAACGGTTAAAGGCCTTGATCCTTCTCTGTTTGCGATGGTGCTGTGGGATATGCATGACCTTCACTTTACTGTCAACGAAGCAGAGTATGAGAAGAGCAAGAAAGCTATACTTGCTGAGTGGGCTTCCGGGCCTGGGTTAACATCATTCTCGAAGTACTTTAAAGCAACGTGGTTGATGGGGAAATTCTGGCGGTGGCAGATGTACCATATACTCTCCGGGCAATAATCATGTTGGGCAGTACAACGCTGCCCTCAAGCGCGATGTCACCGTGCATCGCAAATTTAAGATGGGACTGCTACTGGAAAGGTTTCTCGATTGGTGCCGTCTGGAAGGTGGACGCACGATTGTGTTTGCATCCAAAGTTGTTACCGATGGACGTTTGCAGCGTCGGGCGCGCAAGATGGAGCGAAAGAACTTGCTTGCCGAAGTAGTCGTCAGCAGGCACAGCATTTCGTTCATGTTAGAAGACACGCCAGCCGATCCAACCCCCCCGACATTGTGTACGTGCGCTTCCCGCGAGCAGACCTTACGGCGAGGTTCAGCGCCGACGGCACGAGGACTTACCCACCTCAGCACAGCTGGCCTGCCGCACTGGCCGCAAGAAACTAAGGGCATGTCCGAACCTGGGTGGAAGGTTAACGCCCGCGAACTCTCATGTCCATGTCTGTTCCACCAGAAATTCGCGTGCTGCACTCACGTTTTGCTCGCTTTGAATACCCGCGGTCACATCGACCTGTTTGGTCGCGAGCGTCTCGTGTACAGAGGGCCGAGCAAGAAACGTCGCGTTGGTCCTCGTCGTCAAGGCCCCGGACGCCCGACGTCGAACGGGCACGCGCTGAATATCAGCTAATCTGTAAGAAAGCAGAAACATCAAAATAACAATCGCTTAGCGGTGGACACAAATCATAGATTTTTTGTGTTGTAAGCTTACCATTAGAGAGAAAGCGTTGCTCGACAGTAGGCATACATGTTGCCGCCGTGCAACGCTGCCTCGTTGAGAGGCTTTGGCCTTGTTTACGTCTCCACCATACAAAAAGTGTATCATGTAGAAGGCTGGTACTACGATAAGATATGACGAACACGCCTATCCGAACACCCCCGCACCAATTTGAGCTAGGTAGAATCCAATATCAGCTGAGCGCTGCAACCCGTTTTATCTCGAACTCATTCTTCTGGCCTCAGGTCGATCGCCCTGCGCGATACAGGCTCGATCAGCATGCAAGCCGCCCTTTCGGGTCCTTTTTACATCAGTGTTAGGTATCGGTCTGAATATAGCTGCCGGGCTATCTTGGCGGGTCCGTTGCGCAGCGATAGAGCCACTTCGCACTTGCTGGGGCGGCTTGTGCGCATCAATAGCGCCTGCGAAATGCTGCCGAGCGCTGTGGGGCTTCACCGACCTGCGTGTAGACAGAACGCAATCGCGTGCTCGAGGACATTTTGCGCAGTGTGTGCGCGGGAGTCCCACGTACGTGGCCGCCGCAGCTTCCAGTTGTTGAGTTTGCACTTAATAACGTGGTGCACGTGTCCACGAGGCTCACGCCGTTCTACTTGAATGGGTTCGTCACTCCAGAATGCCTCTCACGCTTCGAGGAGACGCTGCATCCTCTATTCTAAGTGGAGAAAGGCTCGGAAAGCTCTTTTCTCCCAGGTCTCATATGCGAGACCGGTTTTGCTGCGAAAACAAGTGGTGTCCTTCGTGGACACTAAGCTGAGTGTGATCAGCAGGGTCCGTGATGCAATGGCAGCGGCCCAGGACAGACAGAAGGAGTACTCTGACAAACATGGAAGAGGAAACGCAAGTGTAGTTAAAAGTGGGGGACTTTGTGTTATTAGACACGAGGAATCTACCTCTTGGCACTGTCAGCTCTGTTGGCAGCAACAAGCTGAAGTACCGCTTCATCGGACCATTTGGAAGTTTATGTGTTTAAGGTGGGTGAAATAATGTCGTTAGACACGAGGAGCCTACCGCTAGATACTGTCAGCTCTGTCGGCAGCAACAAGTTGAAACGCCGCTTCACAGGACCGTTCGCGGTCCTGGACAGGCATGGTGCGTCGTACATCGACCTGCCCAACGCACCCAACGTTCTACGTTGGACGTCTTAAGCGGTACTATGGTCAGCAGGGGGTTGCTGACTCGCAGACCCACCTTGACCCAGCTCCTCGAAGCGAGGTGGGGTGGTACCACAGACGCCGACGAGGGCGCCGGAGCAGGCACCCTAGGCTCGAACTGAACAGCAAGGCTGCGATCGAGACCGTACGCCGGAGGGGTCCCGTACGAACGGACCCCAGAGCCATACGCAGAGTACGTCGAGTACGTCGGGTACGCACTATAGGCGTACGGCAATGAGTGCGCCGAAGGCGGCTCCGGACGTGACAGCAGAGCCTCAACACGTCGGACCAAGCGGAAGGCCTCGTCAAAACCGGACGAAGAGGCCCGGCGGCCCACCCGCTGATGCAGGTTCGATACCTTCCGCTCCAACTGGTCCAGGCGGCCCGCAAGACGAGCGAGCATGCCCTGATTCCCGGTCTGGGCAGCAACATCACCGCCAGTTCCAAGGCCAGGTGCAATCTCAAGCACGAGGATGCGCTGACGGAGGCGGTCAGCCTCAGGGCGCTGCGT